CGTGTGTTTAAAGTGACTGTGGAAATTAAGTGTATTGCGAAGTTGTATCCAGGGAAAAATAAACTAGTTCAGAAAGAATTTTTACGAAAAATTAACAAACGACTAGAGACGTAACAAATTGGTGTCAGAAGTGAGATTGAAAAAAAAAAAGAAAAAAAGATGGAAACCAGAAGTGCCAAATCAAACTACAGCTTAGCAGACTTGATGGCAGCAATACAAGAACAGCAAAAGAAACAAGAAGAACGAGAAAAGAAACAGTATATTAAAACATATTTGTGTTAAAAAAGAAGAAAACTGTGTGTATCAATCTTGTTGGCAAATATAATAAATTGGAGATATATCGGCATATATTTAACTACTAAATTTAAATTATCAGTTAACTCAGTTTTAGGCTATTTGAAATTCTAATACGTGGCATATATTAAAGTGAGATTAACGTTTTTCTGACATTTTAGGAGAATAATTTGTCTTGTCAAAAGGTGTTATAAAGCAATTGAACCACCTTTTGTGGATTTGACAAGAAGAATAGAACATATATAGTGTTTATGATATGGCTATTATTTCTTTGGTGTAAAGAATTTGTTTTGCATACGTTTAACTTGTTCGAATATATGTATATGTTAGTTTGAAAAAAAGTGGAATGCGTGCTGTTTGTTTATCTTTGAATTTATCGCCAACAACTCACAGACACCTACTGTAGAAGAAACATAAGCCCAATAACATCACAATATATATTTATATTAAGAAGTATAAGTAAAAGCCTTTAATTGATAATTGGCGAACATAACTTAACATCTGACAATAACTATACAAAGAGATGATAAGATATTTTTATAATAATGAAAAAGGAATATTATCGAGAGATGATTTAAGATAATTTAAACAAAAATCATATGTATAAATATGTAATACGTGAAAAGAAAATTAAAATTATAATGAATATATAACAATTGTTTGTTATTAAGCCCTCAGACATACGGTTGAGCCACTGGAGTGTGTGTGTGGGGGAGAGAGGGGGGGTGAATTTGTTTGTTTTGGAACAAAAGCAAATTAGACTATCTGCGTGGAATCGAACTTTAGATTTTAGTGTTTTTATGTTTTAGTCAATTGTATAAATGTAGCATAACCGAAACGTTTAATAAGAAAAATATAAAAATAATATTTGTGGTCAAAGAATTCACTAAAAATATGTAAAGAAATTAAAGTATCAATTGGGAATTTATTTTGTATGTGAATAGGAAATTGATAGTAATTCAAAAAATGTTATATTTTTAAAGCCATTTATATAGTGGAAACAGAAAATTTAAGAAAAAAAATTAATTTACATAAGTCAAGTAAGAAATCATCTAATTAATCCGTTATATGTCAACTGGTCGATAAATTTGATGGACTACTGGAACTATATTTTTAAGTATACCCCTTCTGGTTTTGTAATAATAAAAATGAAAAAGGTGGTATGGAAATTATTTTATTAACAAATTTAACCCAATACGGTATTAAATCAGTAATATTTAAAACAGTGAGATGAAAAAGGAAAAATAATTTTTTTTTATTGCCTTATTGTTTGATTTAGCTTGTATACAGTTCTGTTCTCTACGTATGTTATTAATTTTTACCCTCGCCTCCGGAAGGAGGGCGAAGGTATTGCATTTGGTTCGTATGTCCTCGTGCATATCTCAAAAAATAATAAACCGATTTACGTGAAATTATTACAGAAGATAGGGTGTTCACATAGGATGGTCTTCTCCAAATTTGGTCTGGATCCAGATTCTGGATCACTTTGAAGGATTTTTTAACATGGGGAGATGGGGAAATTTTCCAGTTTTTCATGAATAACTTAATCCCAAGTGATCAGATTTAGACCAAATTTTACAGCCACATCAATATTAAGACTATTCAGGATTCCACAAAACATTATCTGACCTGAGAAGGATTATTGGTAATTTTGAGGATCATATTTTAAAATTCTTAAAAAAATAATTTTAATTATATCAAACCGTAATTTTGAACACACAAACTGTTTAGTGATGTTTCATAGACAGTTCTTTTCATCCTATCCCAAACATGAAAGATCCACCTGGATCAATATCAATACTATTCCACTCTCAACAAAATTATATCTCTCAATGAAGCGTGGAAGATATCATGAAAATATTATGTTATCAGATACAAATGTATTATAATTTGGACAATAATCCTTATGATATTCCTTGATTTAAAAAATAAAAATTAACCTAGATCACGCGGAACCAAATCGCCGCCATTATGATGAAATACAAAATAGGTAATATCTCTGGAACGGTTGATGATAAATTCGTAATTCCAAATCTTATGGGTAAATTTCATATTACTCATGTAGAAGGCATGCTTAAAAAGCACTATACAGTATACGGAACAAATTTATGATGTTTTTTTTTTAATGTTTGTAACAAGAGTTTGGGGGCTTGGAGGATAACACGCCTATGATTGAATAGAAAGTGCAGTAGCCATTAATTCCATGCCATATTGTTAGTCATCTCATAAATTTGATATATTAATTTTTCAACAACAGAAAATTAGTGTTTGGGGTTTCAACCATCCTCAACAAATGGAGGGGGCAGTTTGTTAAACATTAAGTGAATTTTAGTGTTATAAGGAGGCCCAGGGAAAACCAATGGTGGGTTATGTTAAAAATCAATAGCAAACTGCTTTGAATCTGTTCGTGTTCTCGTAATGACACCAAATCTCTGCAACGGAAATTTCGCAAAACATTAATTCTTCCAACATCAGTTGGGGAGATATTAATACATATTACACGTCCTTTTAAATGAAAATTTATTAAATAAATCTCTATTTGAAATAAACAAGAACAGTTACGTTTGTTACAATGCTAATTTGTAATTTTACAAAATTATACCAGTCACATCAATATCTCCAGACTTATGGATGATACTTAGATAAAGGCAAATGAAGTTGTTAAAACTTGAATTAAAACAAACCACAAATAATAATAAAATAATTTACGCT